TTCCGCCTGACATTAGAATACAATATAGAATAAATACAATGCATGGAAAAGATCAGAGGCATTCCGAATAAATCGTTCATCTTGCGTTCACCGTTCACTTTGCGCTCGCGTTCGAGCTCCGTTCGCGTTCTGCGTTCGCTCACTGTTCAGCGTTCACCTACCGTTCACCAAGTTGCCTTCAGCGTTCACACATCGTTCTCTCACCGTTCGCTCTGCGTTTGCTCACCGTTCGCTCACCATTCAAGTGGGAAAGTAGAACGTTTCAGGGACTGTACATATGTTTAACACAGCTCCACCAGTGAATATGCACGTTTACCTTTTAGGATAACACGACCATAATCCACAATCAAAAAAAAAAAAAAAAACATCTCCCATACATTTATAGAACAATGTTGGAACTGAAATAACTTTACTAAATATTGATAAAGGTATACAAATTTTTAAAATTGTTTTTATACCCCCGTATCGAAGATTCGGGGTATATAGCTTTTGCCCTGTCTGTCCGTCTGTCTGTCTGTTTGTCCGCAAAAATTTTAACATTGCTCATGACTTTTGATTGGTTGGAGCTATGGCTTTCATATTTAACATGTGCGTTCCTTGTGACAAGACTTTTCTTTGGGTAGCACCAAATTTGACCTTTTGACCTTGACCTTGGAGTTTGACCCAGTTTTGCAAATTTTACCCAACTTTAACCTTGGCCATAACTTTTGAACAATTGGTGCTAGGACTTTCATACTTCACATGTGTAATCATTGTGATAAGATATTCCTTAGGATACCAACAACTTTGACCCTTTGACCTTGAACATGGAGTTTGAGCCAGTTTTGAAAAACTTTAACAATCGCCATAACTTTTGAACAGTTGGTGCTAGGGCTTTTTTTCTAAACATATGTAATCCTTGTGACAAGACCTTCCTTTGGATACCAACAACTTTGACCCCTTGACCTTGGGGTTTGACCTACTACTGGAAACTTTTAACTTTGGCCATAACTTTTGAACAATTGGTGCTAAGGCTTTCATACTTCACTTTGTAATCCTTGTGTCAAGACCTTCCTTTGAATACCAACAACTTTGACCCTTTGACCTTGACCTTGGAGTTTGACCCAGTTTTGAAAAACTTTAACATTGGTCATAACTTTTGAACGGTTGGTGCTACGTATGTAGTGCTAGGGCTTTCATAATTGAATGTTTTTTCCTTCTGACAAGACCTTCCTTTGGATACCAACAATTGTAATTCATTGACCTTGACCTTGGAGAGTTTGACCTACTTTTGAAAAAATTTAACCTTTTCCATATCTGTTCAGTGGTTGCAACTAGGGCTTTCATATTTTTGATTTGCATTTGAGAAAGTTTAACCTATAAGTTGCCATACGGGGGCATCAGTGTTTCACAAACACATCTTGTTTTCTTCTGTAATTATATATATATATATATATATATATATATATATATATATATATATATATATATATATATATATATATATATATATATATATATATATATATATATACATGTATATATATATTAGGGATGGCAACGAATATTCGAACATTCGAATATTCATTCGATGAGTTGATATTCGAATATGAATTTAAGATTCGAATATTCGGTGTTTTTTTCAGATTTCATAAAAAGAAGTACTGTGATTAATAAGTTTTGGTTAGAACAGTGCTGGAATTATCCCTGTTTAATTTACTAGCGATCAATTTCGATCGCCTGATTTCTTTCACTACTTTCTTATCTTATAAATTTACTAAATTACATGTATAATGTTTTATGTATAAAACAAAACGTACTTTCATAGTTTTATTAGTTAAATACGATCGAATCTAGAATCGAGGACAACAAAATGAAATCCTTCTTAGAATGTCTAAAAGACGTGAAGCGTATGCTTATCAAAGCAAATTTAACTGATCATTCAAATGAATACTAGTATCCAGTAGAATTAGACTGTAATTAATATTGTAAAGGGCTCAATTTCAGAATAAATGATTATATCTTGGGTTGTACATAATCCTGAATTTTATATTCATTATCGGGAAATAAGTTAATTACCTAGGAAAATTGTCTTTGGAAAAATTTGTTTATATTTTACAAACAAAGATTATAATAATATCTCTTATTAGACAGATAATTGTCATTTATTACACGTATTGAAATCTGAACAGTATTCCGTTACGACTATCTTGCCTTTGGTAAGACGACTGCTTACTCAGTTGGAGCTACTATATATACACGTTTCATTTGTTAAAATTATACTTTTCTACATTTAAATCAATTATTTATTTCAAACATTGACAAATATCAAATTTCTTATTGTACAACTACAAAAGTCTTCATACAATTTTACTTCCAATATCCTACGTTAAACCTTTCATGAGAGTAGCTAGGATGATGCATATTTAAAATAAAAAGATTTTATTTATTTTATCGAATATTCGAATATATTCGAATACTTTCATTGAATATTCTAATATAAATTATTGACAACATTGACATCCATAATATATATATATATATATATATATATATATATATATATATATATATATATATATATATATATATATATATATATATATATATATATATATATATATATATATATATATATATATATATATATATATATATATACATATACATATATATATACATATATATATATATATATACATATATATATATATATATATACATATATATACATATACATATATATATACATATATATATATATACATATACATATACATATACATATATATACATATATATATATATATATATATATATATATATATATATATATATATATATATATATATATATATATATATATATATATATATATATATATATATATATATATATATATATATATATATATATATATATATATATATATATATATATATATATATATATATATATATATATATATATATATATATATATATATATATATATATTTATTTATTTATTTATTTATTTATTTATTTATTTTATGGGAAATCGAAATTGAATCCATTATTTTGATGAAATTATGTTGTTACACAGGGCGGTTTTAGCGGAATGTTAAATATACCCACTATATGAATCATTAACAGATATTTAGAGCATTAAGGATATATAAGGCATATCATTAAGATATTGGTCGTTAGTTTAGTAAATATACATTCAATTGTCCACACATTTGATAAAATGATTGACTTTGTTATTCATTGGAAATGCTGAACCTAGCATAACTTTATAATGAACGTGATGACTTCATTTCTATCTATTAACTTCCTTTATTAACGTATCAATTTATACTTATCATCTGGAGATGGAGTTCATGTTTCCCAGTTGATTCCATACGCAAGAGCACGTTATATGTACGAACAATTTTTAAAACGAAGCAAAGCTGTTGACAAACAAGTTGAAGAAACAAGGATATCAAAAGTTTCGTTTGAAGTCAACATTTCGCAAATTCTATCGTTGATTGAATAACCATATCAGCAGATATACCTATCATTTAGTTGAATGCTGACTAACGTTTTTCATACTTCTTATTAGGTCATTATTTACACTGAAATATCTACGGATTTTTTCGTTTGTCTGGTCATGCCAAGGAGTAACGGCGGATGAGACCGTCTACAGGGGATTCTTAATTCCTCCTTCTATGCACATAATTCTACCTCTGATGATTTAAGAGGTCCATAGTTGTCTCTGCTCCCGTTTTGTATTTTTACAATGTACCTCTGAGTTTGATTACTGCTTGTTATCTCCATATTTCATTTAAAGTAAACAAGGACATACATGCGGTTTGATTATTGACCTACTAACATTTGGATAGTACCTGTTTAAGATACCCCACAACCTTTGATCGAGCAACCCAGTGTGATTTACATTTATATAAATATAGTAAACCCTTTGGGTATTATTTAAGGAATACAGTCATAAATGTAACCATTACCTTTAAGTGAAAAAAAAACGTTTAAGGTAAGTCTTGTAAGATTAAAAGGTGGACAAATTTCGATATTTTACTATCTATATTAGTAAATTTTTTCAAAGTTAATTCCTCTTCTTTAAATTTTAATTTGCTATAAGATTTTTTCATATTTCATCAATTAATGCATCATGTAATTCAAACCCGTTTACTTACGTACCACTAACTCATACAAGATTTATTTTAAACAGCAAAATATTTTTCTCATGAATATAAATAATTATAATCTACTCTATACATAGATTGACCATCGCAGGCTTGCCAAACTTCGAATAGTTATAGACGATGAATTAACAGAGATTTTTAGAGATATTTTGGAAAAGAATGACCCCTTTTTATATTTAAGAGGGCTGGGTGGTTGTGGCCATTTTTAGACTATTTTGATCTCCTTTAGAAGAAGAGCTCCATATAAAGATAAACAAAAATGATCAAATTTTAAAACTAAAATGTATGGAATTTTTGTTTGCCAAATGATAGTTGACAGCTTAAGATATCATATCTAAAAAATTAAGTTATATCTGATGGTTAATTTGTTGACCCCCCCCCCCTCCCCCCGCCTTAACCTCCTTATATTAAAGGCAGAGATTTTTTACCGGGTGGTAAATTCCAGGTAAGGGAGGGGCTTATTTTGTACAGGTGTGGATGCCTTGAGGGCCAGCAGTCTACCTGTGGTCGTTTGTCTCCCAATCTCTATAAATAGGAAGTGATTTAATACACAGTAGAATACCCAAGAAGTCAAATTTACCTGTGTTGAGATTTTGAGATGATTTTAAATTAGAATTAAAAAGTTGGAAATAAAGTTTAATCTCAATATTTTTTATTAATTTGTAATTGAATGTGTGTCAAAGCATCCCCACCAATTAAAATAATATTATTATTGAAAGTATTTGTTGAGCTTTGGAAAAAGTTATACTTACTTTTGATATATATTATCTTATTATGTTGTTATTAAAAAAATTAAGGCTGAATATGAAAGGAAAGAACAATTGAGCAGAAACTATCTATGATGGAGTCTAGTATAGAAGAAATTAATACAACGTTGGATTCGACACTGAAAGGTAAGAGCTTCTGTAATTTTGAGTTTTAAATCCGAATTTGGCCCTTTATTAAAAAAAACATTACCTTACGTCTCTGGTCCAATTTTAACCATACATCGAATCTCGTCATTTTAATTTTTATAAATGTATCATGTATTAATTCCCTTTAGTTTTGTTGCTCATTTGAAAACAATTTTTAAACATCGTCTGAAAACATTATACGCTTTTTCAGTTGCTTTTCAATACTTCTAATACATAAGTACTGGTATTTTTCTGCAATGACGTTTAGAATGTTAAAAAGAACAGAAATTGTAATTCCGTATAAGTATACCTTTGTTATATTGATAGAAAAAATAATTTTCAGAGGAAATGACCTGCGAAGAAAAGGCACAGTCACAAGTGAGAGTTTCTGATGCAATAGAATCATCGGAATCAACAGTCGCACAGTCTGCGTCGACTATTTCAAAGGTAAACACGAACACTCAAATAATCTCAGTAATTTTCATTTTGAGTATCGTAATTTATCCCATGTTTACCCCTTTATCCCGTGGATATGACTCATTGGATAAATTTTTCATAATCCACAGTTGTGACGTCACAATGGTTTTTGCGTTAGCGTGATGAAGTAAAATAAAGTGGAGTCCTATATAAAACAGTGTAAAACATTGGTTGTGAAGTATTAAACATGGGATAAAAAGAATCTCCCATGATTTGTAGTTGGATATGACTTTTATCCAACTCGTTGTGTGTTTTTATCCCCTCGCCAAGGCTCGGGGATAAAAAACACACAACTCGTTGGATAAAAATCATATCCAACTACAAATCATGGGAGATCCTATATTTATCACATTTTCAACAGTGAGATAGATACTGTAATTTATTTATTGAATAAAAGTGATATTCTGAGACAGTGTGAAAGTAAAAAAATATCAAAATGCTATTCTCAAAGTGTGAGAATATAAGAAATGCGGCATAACTCTCGATCCTTCCCATCACGAATAGTTTTTTTTTTTTTTTTTTTTTTTTTTTTTTTAACTCCCTGGCCTGTTATAAGACTAAATGAACCATCCTGACAGACTGAATCTGCCAAAGTTTCTCCAAATATGTTGTTAAAAATCCATGTTTACAACGTTTTACAATCTCGCAATCGCTTTGCTATGACGTCACAGCCTTTGACACCCTGTTACGAAAGGACAGAGTCAAAAAGAAAATCAAAGAAAATATACACTGTAATAAACAGAAAATTCAATGTTTTGTAGATAAATATGGAATTTATCTCACTCGTGAAAATATCGAAAAATCCTGTCCCGCTCGTGAAATAAATTCCATATTCATCAACAAAACATTCAATATCCTCCATATCTATAATTGTAACAATTTACTTTTTTGTGTCGGTCTTACGTCCAGACCTGTTAAGCAAGACAGAGACTATAATTAAAGTGAGCTAAATCAAATTCAAAATTATTGCTTGTCTTACATTATACATTTATTGCATGATCATGAGGGAAATATGAAGATTTATTCAGCCAGGAAAAATCATATTCCCCGAGGGCTTCGCCCGGGGGGAATATGTTTTTTTTTTCTTGGCTGAATAAATCTTCATGTTTCCCTCATGATCATGCAATAAATTGTTCATTATGCCGAAACAAGCAAAAACTCTTAAAAATAAACATAAACTTCAAATTCGGCACTGCTCTTAAATTCACTTTCAATTTTAACGTAGTGTTTGTGACTTGAACCAGGCTATTGTGACGTCAACTAATCTCGGGAGTTTTCGTTCAACGAACGATAACTATTGCGGGAAAATGCACTAGGTCTCCGAAGAGGTTGAATATGATGAAAAGCATAACGACGACAGGGAAATACGAAGTTTTATGGCCCTGTCACGTGATAATCTAGAACCAATCAGATAACGCATTGTATAGAGTAATTATAATGAGGTATAATAATGAATGTTCTCTTTATCTTTTTTCTCTTTAATTTCTTCTTAATCTGAATATTATTTTGTTTCTTTGTTGTTTAACGTCCCTCTCGAGAATTTTTCACTAATATGGCGACGCCACTACTTGCCGATGGAGAGCTGCAAATTTTTACCTATACTCGGCACTCTAGGCCATTGAGCAGTGAGGGAGCAGTGAGGGATCTTTTTCGTGCCAGCATCTACTGCGACATGGGACTTCGGTTTATACGGTCTCATCAGAAGGACCGGTCTCCACGTCCCACAGTGGGATTCGAACCCGCTAAGTAAGGATCGACTCCTTACTCTGCGATTCTAGAGCAGACGCTCTACCACAACTACACGTGGGCGGCCTATCTGAATATGAAGATGACCCTAAATTTAGCTATCAATTGAATGAAAATTTTCATTTAAAAGTTGAGAATGAAATCGAACAAATTATCTTTTAGCGACCAAACATAAAAATTGTTTGCCTTGAAATGACTTTCTATTCATTTATGCACATGGATTGTATAAATGGTCCTGCAAATTGATACAATATACTTTTCCATCGATAAAGAGCAGTGGTTAAATTTATTGTTCTAATCTACTTAACAAGTCATGTAAAATCACGGTATTTGTGAGCGTATAAAAAATCAATGCAGTGTTCTTTTGTGTACTTTATAAAAGAGTATATCATGAACGGTCCAATTATGTTAACAAAACTGATTAAAAAGATTTGCGTCGTTTCACTTCTGCATGGCTGTGTCTTTAATGCAATTGTCAACCAACAAATTTAATTGAAAGACACAGTCAGTATCGATCAGGGTAACTTTTTCTTGCAACTAATTGATAGCATTTAAATAATAGTATGTACATGTATATCATGGAATTTCAGTGTTCATGGTCATGAGGTCATAAATATGTAATAAATATGCTAGTAATCATTGCAAAGCCCCAGTCCACCAAATTCAAAATTTGTAAGTTAAATTAAATTAAGTTCAAAGTATTACTGAAATGTAAATGAAAGAGTACTTGCAATAAATTCTAAGATATTTTTTTTTAAATTAGCCATTACAAGAGCATCGTTTGGAAACGTTGTCTTTTTATCTGATCATGAAATAGCGTTTAAGAAATATTCATCTTTTTTTTTTTTTTTTTTTGTTTTTGTTTTTGTTTTTTTTTTGTTTTGTATTGTTTATTACCAAGAACCGTACAGTTCATAGGTTTAAAGTATATACATGAATCAATTTGTACATTATATATATATATAACATCTCATTCTCATTTGTACATTAAGTAAAGCAGGATCATAGTAAAGGATCTTACATACTATTCATTCTTGGTTCACAAAGCAAACAAAAGCACCATAATATATATTAGTCCATAAAGCAGACAAAAGCACCATAATAAAAGTTGGTAATACATGTAGTAATAGTGAGGATAATCTCGTTATATCAATGTGAGTTAACTTCTGCTCTCAATCTTGTACATTTATAAAGATATTTTCCTAGTTTACATAACTCTGTTACATTTTTTGTCGACAACAATTGAACAAGTTTAAAGGTAGATGGTTTTTGGTGATAAAATTTCTTAATATACTCTTTTCTAACATCGGAAAAAAAACGGACAAACCAGAATAAAATGATACTCGTCTTCAACTTGTGACATTGAACAAAATTTGCACAATCTTTCTATTCTAGGAATATTAAAAAATCTCCCTCGTTCTATCTCTAGTTGGTGAGAAGATAGACGATATTGACTGATATGTTGTACATATTTTTGTGATATTGATTTTGTTTTTGTTTTTGTTTTTGTTTTTTTTTTTTCACATTTATTTCCCAGACCTATAACATTAAAGATGATATATAGGGCAGCTACCAGGGATGGGGCCCTGACTAAGCTCCCTCTATAACAATATATAATAATAATCCCTACAGCACCACGCAGGATGCTAAATATCTAAATCTTAATACAATGTCTCACATAATGTATTCATATCATACATTCAATATGTATATTAATTAAATTGTATAACATATAAAAAAAAAACCCAAAAAACAGAGAATATTTATCCGGAATCAATTTTGGTTCTAAATTTCTTGTTCGTATTTGCAATCCGGTGCGATTCATGAATGTATTGCAATATATTGAATAAATGGGAAAACATACATGGAGCTTGACTTAAATCTGGATTGTGGAAAACAGGTAACAGTTTCTCGAATTCTGTTAATACAGTTAACGTTAAATTCATATCTCCCTTAAAATTGCGTTTATCATTTTTTAACAATTGAAAAATTAATTTCATTTCTTTCGTGAATGCTTTTTGGAGCAATGAGGTAGTTATTTTTTTTATTTTCATACTTGATACTGTTTCTTGTTTTCCATATTGACCACTTATATATATAAATCAAAGTGTTAACACATATTCGAACGTTTTTCGGTTCACTGGCAAATCCCAGTAGAACAGTACATGCATCAAAATTGATTGAATCCTTTACAGGTATTAGTAAAATTATTCTTTGTACCAATTCTAAAACTGGTTTGACGTGTTTACATTCAAAAAATAAATGCTTCTGGCTCTCAGTGTTTGCTTTACAAAATACAGAAAATACAGAAATATTCATCTTACCTCATAGTAAGTATCAGTTAGCATTCAAAAAAAAGGGCTAAAAGTAAAAAAAAAAACAAATCAAAATATAAAATCCTTGTAAATGTTGTCAATGTATTTGGTGAATAGGTATTGCTCAAATGTTATATTTCATTCATGATTATTTCTTGTCAACTAGCAGTCTGACTCCAGCAGCTTCCAGAAGGCCCAAGTTGCAAAAGCAGACAGTGAAGATATAGGAAAGAAAGAACAATTATGGAAACATGAAGAAAGTCGCAAAGAGATAGACTATATCAAATGCAACCTGCATAACGACAAAGAAAATGATCTCTTTTGTCGAACATGTCAAAAAAGTATCTGTGAAAGATGTGCATATTTAAACCATAGGGCACACAATCTTGTTGACCTTTGGGAGATAATCGATGAAAAAGAAAAACAATTTACATTAGAAACAGATGTCCTTAAGTTCCAAATTCAATGGAAATATGAAGAGGAAATTTCAAGAATGGAGACAGAGTACAAAAATTTGAATGAAACTTATTCTCAGACAAGAAAAGCAATCAAAGCAACGGCCGAGGAGTGGCATAAAGAGGTTGATGGCATCATCAATAAATTTCTCAGCAGTGTCGACAAGTTCGAGGAGATTCATAAAAATCGTGTGTGCAACGAGATAAAGAAACTCGAGAACATTTTAAGTGAAATTAAAAAAATTGTTGAAGATAACGAGAAAACTTTAGCAACACCCTTGGAACTTGTTGAAAAGGAAGTACCAAATGTAGAGGCATTCAAAAAATTTCCAGAGATTTCCTATGTGATTCCACCGACTTTCAAAGTTGGAACTCTTCAGGAAGTCATTGACTATCATATTCAAATATCATATAATTATGCTGACAAAAGAAACTTACCGATACCATATAACGCAATAAACAGCAAGACTTGCGTTTGTCTGGCTGAACTTAAAGTTCTGAGCGAAAGGAGATACCCTGGATACGAAATACAAACAGGGATAACAAATCGACCGAAATTTTCTAATCCCTCTATCAAAATACCAAATCACATATCTCTAAACGATATTCAAGCTTTATCGAAAGGAGAAGCTTTCGTTTCAGATTTAGGAGGACGTGTGTCTTTAATCAATAGGAAGGGTTATGTTCAGATGTCTCAAAAATTGGAGAGAATACATTTCTTATCGATAGGAAAGAATAATGATCTGTACTATACAGATTCGGATGAAAGAAGAATAGTAAAAATGAAGTTTGAGGTGATGGAGTCACATGGTTCAGAAGAGACCGAAAGGAAAAAAGAAATGCTAACTACCTTTGAAGTGTCTACCGAAGAGTGGGAACCAAAGGGATTAACAATAACAAGTTCAGGACATATTTTGGTATGTCTTCAGAACGAAGAAAGTGGGAAAATCGTCAGATACAACCAGAACTTAGAAAAATACCTTCCTCAGGATGAAAGCCTACAGTCTCAAATCGAAAAGCCTGAAAGAATTGTGGAGAACAAAAATGGAGATATCTGCTTGACAGATATGGGTAGTGAGAAATCTGTGTATATTTTCTGTAAAAATGGGAAACTTCGCAAAAAGTATCAACCAAAAACGGCAGATAATATTTTGAAAGGCCTCTTCAAATGGAGAGATACTTCCTTTTCTCCGGAAGGCATTGGTACCGACCGAATTGGACACATCCTGATTTCTGACACACCTAACAAAGTTATTCACATTCTAAATCAGTGGGGAGAATTTCTTCAATATCTCCTCAGAGGATATCTCTATCATCCCAGAGCCATGTCTGTAGATGAAAGCGGAGACTTGTGGCTCCTCGAAGGAAAAGAGAAATTGAAAATTGTAAAGTATTTGAATGGATTTCTCTAATACTGTATCAAACAATGTGATTACATCGTACGAATAATATTGGTTGATTACTGTTTCTTATCTTTATGTTTTATTCGAATGTAATGTTTTATTTAGCTTACTCCATATGTAAAGGTGAACTTTACCAAAAAAAATTAAAATGATTTTATTTTTTCATTCTAAAATATACGTCTATAGACACAACATGACAAAACGTGCCGTTTATCAGGCACATTCCGTAGGTCGAGAGTTCAACCCCGGGCTGGGGCGGAAGTGGGTATCCTTATAAAAGTGAATTTCTTTGTGCTTTCTATATCATATATATATATATATATATATATATATATATATATATATATATATATATATATATATATATATATATATAAAACTCAAAACTACTTCAAAGATGATGTCATACAGTAAAAATAATCGTAAAAGAAAAAGAAAATGCACAGTGTCCAAATTTCATTCAACACAAGCGCTTTCTGGATTTAATAATCCGTCTTCGGGTGTACATAACATTTGAACTGTATTGTTTTGCTTGAAAACCTCTTCCTGTTTGTGTCAGAGCTGTGCTTACAGAGAAGACATCTTCTGTCAGAGCAAGTTTTAAAGCCCCCGTTAGGTAATGGATTGTCCAATCTGGTTCTTACTACTATGTCCTTTAATTTCCTCGGGCGTCTGTATGCAGCCAATGGGGGCTCCTTAAAGACCTCTGCCATTATTACATTATTTATTTGAGTGGAGAATTGGCAGATTCTTTTGAAGGATACTGCTGAGGTTCTTAAGGACGGGTTAGTATGTGGTTAATCAGAGGGACCCTGCCGCTATTGGTCCCCTAGTGTACCCTCCAGAAACCTTTGATACATTGCTTTACCAGCAGACAACAGAAGATACTCACATCCCACAAGACTCATATAAAGGTCTATGTCAATTAATTGGCAGATTCTTTTGAAGGATACCGCTGAGGTTCTTAAGGACGGGATGGTATGTGGTTATCAGAGGGACCCTGCCGCTATTGTTCCCTCTGGTAACCACATACCATCCCGTCAAACGGACAACTGCATTTATCTCATCAGTTGCAAAGTTTGCTTCAAACAGTATGTTGGTGAAACGGGAGATCTCCGCAGGAGAGTCAATAATCACCGTTCTACCATTAGGATCAAAAAACTCAAAGAACCCATTGGGGAACATTTCAACCTTGAAGGTCACAAATGGGAGGACATGACAGTAGTGGTTATTGACCATAATCCAAGATGGACAGACGCTCAAAAAAAAGGCAAGGAAAAGTTCTAGATGCACAGGCTGAAGTCATTGCGCACTAATGGTATTAACAACTAAATGACTTCACCAGGATGATTGTGAACTAGACCCAATCCCGGATTGTAACAAACAAGAACTGTTTATAAACTTCAAATTAAACATGTAACACTGTAAATATTTAGTGTTTCGTAGTTTAGTAGTAGTGCTAGTTGTTGTTGTTTCTCTATTTTCTTTGTTTTTATGACTTCTTAACTTTTTTTTGTCCTGAGGATGGGACAGGTCGTCCCGAAAAATCGACAATTATTATTGTTCGTATGGTCATTTTTAGTATATATATACATATACATGTGTATATATATATATATATATATATATATATATATATATATATATATATATATATATATATATATAAGCACAAAGCACTAAAAATGACCAACGACACGAACAATAATAATTGTCAAATTTTCTGGACAACCTGTCCCTTCCTCAGGACAAAGAAAAAAGTTAAGAAGTCATAAAAACAAAGGAAATAGAGAAGCAAAAACAACTAGCACTACTACTAAACTACCAAACACTAAATATTTACAATGTTACATGTTTAATTTGGAGTTTATAAACAGTTGTGAACAAAGAAATCCGGAGCGCTATGAATTGCGTCCGGTCTATCGGGTGTAGTCTGGTGAAGTGTGATTTACATAATTGAACGAATTAATTATCGCTAATTAATTATGGCCAACAGTAAATCGTACATTGTCTTATTCTCTCAAAATAGCGTAACTCTACATGATAAAAAGAAATTAAAGAAAGATAATATGGAAGGACAATTTTGTAATATGAATTTGGATATATTATAAATTTGGAAATCGGAAAAAAGAAATAAACAAAAATGTGAGCTGTAAATATTTGGGTAGGTTGTTCCAGGATTACTAATACGAATTAACGGTAAAGTTTACACTATATAGAGAGAATGAACTTGTTTGTTACAATCCGGGGTTGGGTCTAGTTCACGTTCATCCTGGTGAAGTCATTAAGTTTGTTAATACCATTAGGGCGGAATGACTTCAGCCTGTGCATCCAGAACTTTTCCTTGTCTTTTCTCTGCGCGTCTGTCCATCTTGGATTATGGTCAATAACCACTACTGTCATGTCCTCCCATTTGAGACCTTCAAGGTTGAAATGTTCCCCAACGGGTTCATTGAGTTTTTTGGTCCTAATGGTAGAACGGTGATTATTGACCCTCCTGCGGAGATCTCCTGTTTCACCAACATACTGTTTGGAGCAAACTTTGCAACTGATGAGATAAATGCAGTTGTCTGTTTGACAGGACAAATTCCCTAGTATTTTGTAGCTGCGGCCTGTAACGGGGCTGTTAAAACTGTATGTGTCAGAGCCACGGAGAAAATTTCTGAATACATCGATTTACATCTCCGTCCACACGTAGAGAATTTGCCATCCTATCTCAAGGACACCACGGACTACATTAACAAGACGCCCTCTACTGGCCTTCCAGATCATACCCTTCTCGTGACTATGGACGTCACATCTTTGTACACCAATATTCCGCACGATGAGGGTATCGAAGCCTGTAGAGAAGTCTGGGATAGTAGATCCATACAAATTTCTTCTACCGAGTCCCTTGCCAAGCTCCTTGAACATGTTCTCAAGTATAACAACTTCATGTTTAATGGAGAACATTACCTGCAGGTTAATGGCACTGCTATGGGTACGAAAATGGCACCATCTTATGCCAATATTTTCATGGGCAGACTGGAACGCAACTTGCTACTTCAAGCACCATTTAGGCCCCTTAGCTGGTTGCGTTTCATTGACGATATAGAGATGAAGTGGGTGGAATGTCGCGAGAGCCTCGAGGTATTCATTTCGTTTGCCAACACCTTTCATCAGTCTATCAAATTTACAGTAGACGTATCTAATTCGAAAAACATATTCCTAGATACTACATCTACCCTGACTGATGGTGAAATCGAGTTCAGTCTCCACACGAAACCCACAGATTTACATCTGTATCTTATGCCAACTAGCTGTCATCCCCCACACACATTTAAGGGTGTGCCTAAGGGTCTAGCCACCAGAATTCGGCGCATCTGTTCATCCCCTGCCTTATATCAAGAACAAAGCGGTCTCCTTAAGTCCCACTTATGCAAGAGAGGCTACAATGCCCGCGTCGTACAAACTGCTATTGATTAGATGGCGGGACATGACAGGCAAAACCTATTACGCTACAAGGAAAAAGACAATAGCGGCAGGGTCCCTCTGGTAACCACATACCATCCCGTCCTTAAGAATCTCAGCGGTATCCTTCAAAAGAATCTGCCAATTCTCCACTCAAATAAACGAATGGCAGAGGTCTTTAAGGAGCCCCCATTGGCTGCATACAGACGCCCGAGGAACCTGAAGGACATGGTAGTAAGAACCAGATTGGACAATCCATTACCTAACGGAGGCTTTGAAACTTGCTCTGACAAAAGATGTCTTCTCTGTAAGTACAGCTCTGACACATACAGTTTTAACAGCCCCGTTACAGGCCGCAGCTACAAAATACTAGGGAATTTGTCCTGTCAAACAGACAACTGCATTTATCTCATCAGTTGCAAAGTTTGCTCCAAACAGTATGTTGGTGAAACAGGAGATCTCCGCAGGAGGGTCAATAATCACCGTTCTACCATTAGGACCAAAAAACTCAATGAACCCGTTGGGGAACATTTCAACCTTGAAGGTCTCAAATGGGAGGACATGACAGTAGTGGTTATTGACCATAATCCAAGATGGACAGACGCGCAGAGAAAAGACAAGGAAAAGTTCTGGATGCACAGGCTGAAGTCATTCCGCCCTAATGGTATTAACAAACTTAATGACTTCACCAGGATGAACGTGAACTAGACCCAACCCCGGATTGTAACAAACAAGTTCATTCTCTCTATATAGTGTAAACTTTACCGTTAATTCGTATTAGTAATCCTGGAACAACCTACCCAAATATTTACAGCTCACATTTTTGTTTATTTCTTTTTTCCGATTTCCAAATTTATAATATATCCAAATTCATATTACAAAATTGTCCTTCCATATTATCTTTCTTTAATTTCTTTTTATCATGTAGAGTTACGCTATTTTGAGAGAATAAGACAATGTACGATTTACTGTTGGCCATAATTAATTAGCGATAATTAATTCGTTCAATTATGTAAATCACACTTCACCAGACTACACCCGATAGACCGGACGCAATTCATAGCGCTCCGGATTTCTTTGTTCACAACTGTTTATAAACTCCAAATTAAACATGTAACATTGTAAATATTTAGTGTTTGGTAGTTTAGTAGTAGTGCTAGTTGTTTTTGCTTCTCTATTTCCTTTGTTTTTATGACTTCTTAACTTTTTTCTTTGTCCTGAGGAAGGGACAGGTTGTCCAGAAAATTTGACAATTATTATTGTTCGTGTCGTTGGTCATTTTTAGTGCTTTATATAAATTTCCATCCGTGACCTTGTATCTACTTAGTAGATCCGACACTTAGGATATACAGTGTTGTTGGTTTTTAGTGCTTTATATATATATATATATATATATATATATATATATATATATATATATATATATATATATATATATATATATATATATATATATATATATATATATATAAGACTCCAAAGTCGGCCGATAAGGAGTAGCCTCGCACACATCCAAGAGATTAGGGTCAGCCTCGCACCCATCCGAAAGATTAGGGTTA